GAGGGGCGGCGGCTGCAAAATCGGCCTCCTATACAGTCGGACGGAGCCAGAGTTAGGTCCCGCCACCGACCTTCCCCGCTTTGACCCTGCTGGGATCACCAAGCAGTAATGAAAGCCCGGTGAGACCAGATCTGGGGTTTCCAGAGAAATTAGAAAGGGGGACAATTGGAAAATCTGGGGACCGGGGATTTAGCTCAGGGGCGCCGTTCCTGCCTGGCAAGCGCAAGGTCCTGAGTTCGATTCCTGGTACCAAAAAGAAAGAAGGAAAAATATCTGGATTCTTAAAAAGTGACACCTTTTAAGAAAATTGGAAGCAGATTAACAAAAAATTTTTTAAACACTGTGTTGCTCAAACAAAATCCAGTCATAGCCAAGATCCCGCTTGGTCTGTAGCCTCATTTCTAGAACATCCTCCCTCCTTCCGGTTTACAGATGGCAAAAGTGAAGTTCAGAGAAGAGAGGGGCTGTAGGGAAATTCCCTCACTCTCCACCAAGCACCACTGGCTTGGCCTCAAACCTGAGGGTCCTAAAGCCAGATGTGGCCTTTGTGGGGTGCGGCCAGGCCTCCCGGATGTTAGGGTTCCCGCTGGGAGTCCAGCCTCACCCTGTTTGCTTAAGGAGGGGCTACGCAGGTGAGGTGGCCCAGCAGGAGCCGGATGTAGGGGAGCTCAGACCCACCTCCCACGGCCACCTCCAGCTGTGGTTCAGGGGACCTGCTTGAGCTGGCACCAAAAGCAGCTGGGCCAGTTTGGGGAGGCAGAGAAGATTATCCCCAAAGAGTCAGGCTGTGTGGCAAAGGAGTAAGACAGGCTGGAGCTGAGAGATGGTAGCTCAAGACCCAGTTGTACCATTTATAGTCAGAGCGGTTATAGGCCAATTCTCTAATCTTCCTGAGTGTTGGTCGTCCTAGTTCCAAAATCACAGGGAGGGTGGAAGGTCAGTGAAGTCCTTTTGTAAAAACCTCTGGGAGGAAAAAAAAAGGAATTGAGGGGTGAAGGAAGGAAGTGGGAAGAGCCCTGGCTCCCACTGCACCCCATAAGATCAGGGGTGATGGGGAGCCAACTGCTTCTCCAATTATCTGTCTTTTCCTTCTCTGTCCTCTTGTGAAAAAGAGGCGTCACAGCCAGCCCTGCTTGGGTGGGAGGGAGGGGTGGCTCGGGCTGGAAATTGCCCAGAAAGTTGACATTTCCCCAGCACAGGTCCAAACTTTCAGGCCTGAGAGCCTCCTGCTGGTGTCCACCCTGGATGGAAGTCTCCATGCTCTGAGCAAGCAGACCGGGGACTTGAAGTGGACCCTAAAGGATGGTGAGAAGAGGTGGCCATTTCTCTCCACTTGGGCCGTAGTTTGAGCAGGGGATAATTTTGACATGGATAATAAGGAGATGGGCAGTAGGCTCCATGAGCCACTTACTACCTGCGTGTTCTGGTTAAATGCTGGGCTTGGTGTCTGGCACGCAGCAAGAACTCAGTGGCTTGTGAGCCTTGCTCTTCCGAGAGCCCAGAGGGGACTCATGCTTCATGCTCATGTCCCTGCAGATCCCACTATCCAAGGACCAATGTACGTCACCGAGTAAGTGAACCTGGTGTCCTCCAGGAAGGGGAAGCTGGGAGATGGGAGCCATGCTTGTCTGGAGGTTTGGGGGAGGGGGTCATGGTGGAAGTAAGAGAAGAGAATTGGGTCTCAGTGTGATTTGGGGGAGCATCTTGAAGCCCCAAGGTATCTTGCACAAGGATGGGCTCTGGATAGGGGAGAAGTCGGAGGGAATGGAAGCCTTCATGAAGCCAGGAGCATGCACCCAACCTTCTCTTTTCCTCTCTGCTCCACAGAACAGCCTTTCTGTCAGACCCAGCTGATGGCAGCCTATACACCTTGGGGGCCCAGAAACAACAGGGGTTAATGGTGTGTTTCCTAAGGTGTCTGGGGATGGATGCGGACTGGGCCTCCCTCTGCAGGAGGCTGAGGGGTGGAGGGCAGTGTGGTCCGAATGTGGGTGTCTTGGGGAGGATATAAGTCAGAGCTCTGAGCTTTGTACGAAAATGAGGGGCTGGCTGTGTCTGCAGAGAAGACTGTAGGACATGGGGTATCAAGAGGCTTCTCCAGAATTCTGGGCAATTTAAAGGGACATCTACATATTGGTTAGCTTTTGCTAAATAATGAATTGCCCCCAAAAGAGTTAAAAGCCTAACAACCCAAAATCTGGTGGGAGGACAGTTCAGGCTGGGCTCAGCAGGGCAACTCTTCTACAGACCTTGGTTGGTTGCTTATGCACCTGCGGTTAGCCACTGGTCACAGGGAACAGCTCTGATTCTGAAAGCTGCTGGGTGCTTGGCTGGCAATGGGGCTTCCATCCCCTGATCTCACCTGTGCCCCAAACCTGACGGGAAGCCAGGAGTCAGGGCACCCACTTACATAATCCAGACAAATCTGACTCCAGGGCACAGAAGGGTGCAGGGCAGTTCCCTACTCATAGCCAGCACTGGATCAAAGGCCCCTTTACCCTGGGACAGCTCCTGAACCTCTGAGTCTTTTGTGAACATTGACAGTTTTGAAATCTGTGTGGATGTGTGTGTGTGTGTGTGAGAGAGAGAGAGAGAGAGAGAGAGAGAGAGAGAGAGAGAAAGAGAGAGAGGGAGAAAGGAGCCCATCAGGCAGGGATCGAGTGGACTGTGTGGCACGCTGGCATTGAGTGTGGGATTTTCTGCAGTTCGCGGAGAGGCTGTGTAGCTCATTGGTTAGGTATGCTGGTTCTAAAGCCTGTGTACCTGGGTTCAAAACTTGGCTCTGCCACTTGCTGGCAATGTGACATAAGCCAATGTACTCAGTCTCTCCGAGCTGTAGTTTCCTCACCTGGAAAACAGAAACAATAATAATAGTGCCTAATGAAAAGGTCAGCCTTACACAGCCAGTGCCATGTATAGATTTCTACCCTTACTCCTTTCTGGACCTTTCCCTTAGAAACTGCCATTTACCATCCCAGAGCTCGTTCACACCTCTCCCTGCCGCAGCTCGGATGGGGTCTTCTACACAGGTGAGTATCGCCCCATCCAACGGCAGCCTAGTGAGCCAACAGGGACGGGGGCCTGGGTTGGGACTGGCCAGCCTGGTGCAGGAGCAGCAGAAACAGCAGGGCGCACGCCCTCTCCAAGCCATCTTGGAAGCTGGCCAACTCCATTTCCATAGGCCGGAAGCAGGACGCCTGGTTCGTGGTGGATCCTGAGTCCGGGGAGACTCAGATGACGCTGACCACAGACAGTCTGTCTGCCCCCCGCCTCTACATTGGTCGAACACGTGAGTCCGGCTACAGCTCCCCTCCCGCTAAGCACCGCTCTTTTCTCTGCCCAGACCAGGCAGTTGCTATCCAGACCGAGTCAGGACAGTCAGTCTATCAGGCTTCAGCAAACATTTTACTGGGCACTGAGTGAAGAGCTGGGTGTACTGCAGTAAACAAGACCGGCCTGGTCTCTGACACCCCATAAAATGCACAGTCTCTGGGTGGGGTGAGGAAAACACCACGTGAGCATTCTGGTGACCTTGCTTCTGGGGTCCCAGAGTACACGGTCACCATGCACGACCCGAAGACCCCAGCCCTGCGCGAGAACACCACATACCGCCGCTACTCAGCGCTCCCCGCAGACCACTCACCGGGGAAATGTGAGTGCCATCTTCCTCTGACCCCACTGGGGAGCAAGATACCAAATGCAGGGGCCCGAGTGGCCCCCATCGCCAAGTCCCCCTTCTGAGCCATATAACCCCTATGCGCTAAATGACACATTCCTGACCGATGACTCCAAGTGACTCCCGGCCCCCAGTCTCACCCTCGTGTACCCCGAGCAGTGCCTGCTCATCCTAACTCCTCCCTGCTTCAGTGACCCCAACAAGGTAGCCCTAGGGGACTCCCCACATCCTGTGACCCCAAGCAACCCACGCACACCCTTGAGTGACCCCTACATGGAGAGTGACCCTCACAGCTGACCCTAAGGGACTTCTTCCCAAACTGACCCCCGACCACCTGCCTGGCATTATGCCCCTCCTACCCAGCTGCCCAGCTGTGTTGCAAGTGCCCCTGGCAGAGAACCCCCAAATCCTGACTCTGTCGTTCTGCATGAGGCCCTACTAGGGTAACCCAGATGCTTTACAGATGACCCTCCAGGGCCCCAAACCGGCCACGCCGAGTTACTCCCACGGGCCGCTCCGGTGACCCTGCCTGGGGGAGCATCGCCTTCCCATGGCCATAGCTGACTGCCCTGCCTCCTGTGACCCACACACAGCTGAGGTGTCTGTGGGTGACCCTGACTGGTCCCCTCATGTTTCATGTGACCTCATGACCTCTGACGAACTTTCCTGTGGCCCCACCTGACCCCCACACACCTACATGACCTCCTACAAAGGTGCCCCCAGGCTCACCCTGTGAGCACTCTGTGAGCCTCCCCAGCTGTCTCTCCTGGCAGATGTGAGCTATTTGGCATCGTGCGGGACGGGCCTGCTGCTGACCGTGGACCCAGGAAGTGGGGCGGTTCTGTGGACACAGGACCTGGGCGTGCCTGTGACAGGTGTCTACACCTGGCACCAGGATGGCCTGCGCCAGTTGCCCCATCTTACGCTGGCTCGGGACACCTTGCATTTCCTCGCTCTCCGCTGGGGCCACATCCGCCTGCCTGCCTCAGGCTCCCAGGACACAGCCACTTACTTCTCTGCTTTGGACACCCAGCTTCTGTAAGTGTCCCTTGCTGGAGCCCAGGGAGGGAGCTTTCTGAGGCTGTCAGTGAATCAAAGATCTTAAATTATTGCTTAAAACTTTGGGGCATTTTCTCCCAAATCTAAGGATAATCTGCTGGAAATTTTTAAAGGGTGATTTGATCATATTTTCATTTCAGACAACTCATTGGGTTTGAGATGTGAAGAATATCTTAGAGTGATGAAAGGGTAGCACCTATGGAAATGGTCACCTAAGGCTGGAGATTTAGCTCAGTGGTTCCGCTGCCTGCCTTGAGAGCGCAAGGACCCGAGTTCGATTCCCAGTACCATAAAAGAGAAAAGAAAAAGAAATGGTCACCTATAGAACATTGCTTTAGTTCAAGCAAAAGTGATACTTGGGACTAGAGTAGAAAAACTAGAGATGGAAATAAGAAGAAGGTAAAGATATTAAGAGGGAAACTTAGAGTTTGGTGGTGAGGGAGTTTGGTTGTTGCGAGCAAGGAGTCCAGGGCCCACTGAAGTTTCTAGAAGCACATGAGCACAGCCATCCTTAGAAGTAAGGAGCACTAGAAGAGGGGAAAAAGACAGGGGAAGATGAAGAAGTGGTGAATGCAGATTTAGAAAGCTGAGATCTGGGGCTGGGGATTTAGCTCAGTGGTTTGGTGGCCTGCCTCGCAAGCACAAGGACCCAAGTTCGATCCCCAGTACCAAAAAAAAAGAAAGAAAGCTGAGATCTGAAAAGAAGTCTGGGCTCACCACAGAAATTGTGACAAGAGAGTTTATACCAGTTACTTTTGCAGCACAACAAACAACCCCAAAACTTAGAACTTAAAAACAGCAAACTCTTACTCTAAGAGTCTGTTGGCTTGTGGGTGCACTTCCGATCTCACGAGGCAGTTGGTGACTTGATAGAACCAGTGATCCGCGATGGTCTCGCCCATCCTGTAGTTGGCAGACCCTGGCATATGGTATGTTGCATAGAATGGTAGCGTAGTCCTTCATCCCTATGAAAGACTGTGCTTCCTCATATGGTAGCCTCAAGGTTCCAAAAAGCAACACCACACGGCAAGTCCCAGTTCCCAAGCACATTTTAAGAGTCTGCTTGCATGTTATTTGGTGTTGATAAGGCTAAAGCAAGTCACATAACCAAGCCCAGAGTCAACCTGAAATGTGATGGTACAAGGACATGAGTATGGAGGGAACTGAAAACCACCCATCCCCAGCTCTCATCCTCTTATCTTTGCTCTTTTCCCCATTAGGATGACACTGTATGTGGGGAAAGACGAGGCTGGCTTCTATGTCTCCAAAGCCTTGGTCCACTCAGGGGTGGCCCTCGTGGTGAGAAATGGTCTCTGAGTGAACTAGAAGGAGGGATGGAAGAGGAAAGGAGCCTCCTTCATCCACAGCTCTTCGTCTTCTGCCATAGCCTCGTGGACTGACGCTGGCCCCCATGGATGGCCCCACCACAGACGAGGTGACACTGCAAGTCTCAGGGGAGCGAGAGGGCTCACCCAGCACTGCGGTCAGATACCCCTCGGGCAGCGTGGCCCTCCCCAGCCAGTGGCTGCTCATTGGTGAGGTCTCCTGGCTGAACTTTGGAATAGACAGAGATGAAGGAGCTATGAGCTCAGTTTGAGTGGAAGACTGAGGTCTTCAGCCCTCTGACTCTTTTCTATCCCTGTTCCTCAGGGCATCACGAGCCGCCCCCAGTGCTGCACACCACCATGCTGAGGGTCCACCCCTCCCCAGGGAGTGAGACTGCCAAGACAAGGCCTTCAGAGATCATCCATGCTTTTGTTCCCTTCTTGGGGGTCTGTACTAGAAGGGCAGGGCATCTGGGGGGTGGGCACCAGACAGGCAGGCAGCCCTCAGACCTTTTCCTAAAGCTCCTGGAGTAATATCTCACAAAGAGTCAGTTGACCCCATTGTAGTTTCCCAGAAGACAAATATTTTGTTGTTGTTACTGCCAGAAGTGTTAGAGGCTTCTAAGAGATGTACAGTTCACAGGTTTTTTTCTTTATTCTTCTTCAGCGTAAACCCTGTAAAATACTGTATTCATCAAGTGAGAAACTGAAAACAGAAAAACTATAAAATCATGTTCTCCTGGGACAGGGTTGGATAAGATGCATTAATAAGTAGTTCAAGGTCAGAAGGAAAAGCTGAATAGGAGCAACAATTCTCAAATCTAGTTGTGTGTGAGATTCACCTGAGAGAAAAAGTTTCTTGTCTTTGCGGGTAGAGATGTATATTTTTAGTAACACCCTATGAATATTTGTTTATTTTGCAGTATGGGGGATTGAACCCAGGACCTTTGCAATGAGCCACATATCAGCCTTTTCTTTATATTTATTTTTTGTGGTACTGGGGATTGATCCCTGGGTTGTCCCACTGAGATATATCCCAAGCCCCTTTGTTTTTGAAACAGGGTCTCACTTTAAAAAGTTCAGGCTAGCCCTGAACTCATCACGTAGCTCAGGCTGGCCTCTAACTCATGGTAATCCTCCTACCTCTACCTCCTGAGTGCTGGGATTACAGGCCTGAGCCACCATGCCTGGCTTCAAGCCCTTTTTTTTTTTTTTTTCCAAGCCCTTTTTTGTTCTGTTTTTGTTTTCATTTTTGAGATGGGGGTCTTGCTAAATCACTGTTTCCCGGCCAGGGCTTGAATTTACAATTCTCCTGCCTCGGCCCACCAGAGCGCTGGAATTACGAGCATGTACTACCACACCCAGATAGGTCAGTGATTGTATTTTTAAAAAATGGTAATCAAGGAGATGCTGATCCCCTGCTAGGTTCACCAAACCACTTTAAGGGAACCAAGTTGTTTCAGCACCACGGAGAGTGACATCCCTCCCACCATACCCAGACCACTTTGCTGGCCCTTCTGCTAAGCCTGACTATATAGCCTGAGCGATGAAAAAGGGTTAGGGGTTCCACAGGGGGATGGAGTACCAAGAATGAGAGCTACTTTGTCTGCAGGCCCTGAGCCTGAGCAGGGAGGAGCCTTGGGACCCTGAGCTGCATCCTGAAGAGAAAATTCCAGTCTCTTCTCCCAGGCTGGGATACCAAGACCTTCTGGCAGCAGTCCTTAGTGCCCTCCTCCTGGGTGGCTGGATTCTCTTCCTCATGAGGCAGGTAAGCCCATCACCCCGACCTCAGGCCCACCTTAGAGTTTTCCTGGAGAGCTCTTCTTCTCCTCTCTGATACCACTCAGCAGCTCTCTCATGAGTCTGCTCCAGCTGCCTACTGCCTGCCTCCCAGAATCTCCTGAGCCCCTGTCCCTGTCCTTTTTAAACCCTTACTCCAGTGCAAGGCTGTCTCAGACACAGGGCAGCCCTGGCTGGGGCTAAGCTCTCTTAAGCTCTCCCTTCTCAGCAGCTCCAACTGGTGGAGAAGCAGCAGCAGATTTCCTGGGCACCCACAGGCCCTCCTGATGTCTCACAGGGTGCTCAGGCCCAGGCCTCTGGGGCTGCCTCACAGGGCCAGAAGAAGCTTCAGAGCCCCTCAGAACAAGCCTTGCCATCCTGTGACCCTGAAGGTGAGTCAGCAAGACAAGGTCGAATAGGGACTGGAGAGAAAGGAGGGATGGATTTCATTTAATTTTAAAGTCAGTGTATTAGGAGCCACTATCATGGGTGGCTAAGCCTAAATGAGATAGGACAGTGTTTTGATGGTGTTGTTTAGTGGAATACTTGTTTTTTTGTTTTTTTGGTTTTTTTTGAGACAAGGTCTCACAGTATAGTTTAGTCTGGCCTCAAACTCACAGCGATCCTCCTGCCTCAGCCTCCTGAGTGCTGAAATTACAGATGTGCATTACCACGCTTGGCTAGTTGAGCACTCTAGAAGTGTCTTCTCTCATTGTTTTATCATTGCCATTCTCAAGGACTCTGGATATAGAAAGAATTGGGAATAGGGCCCGGGATTTAGCTTAGTGGTGTTGCTGCCTGCCTCAGAAGCACAAGGTCCCAAGTTTGATCCCTGGTACCAATAATAATAATATAATAATACTAATATCATATTCAGTTACAATGAGTATATTTCCTAGGTACAGTTTTTTAAATGTCTCTCCTCTTTCCTATCAAGCATCATCTGGTACCTGGGGGATGCTCCTGGAGCTGTGCACAAGCCTTGGTCAGGGAGTCTGGGCTTCTGCTCCGGGCTCTGGCTGGGTGGTGCTATTGGTCTCCCTGTGGACAGGAGCTGGCGCTTCCTGGCTGCTGCCCTGCCACTTCCTCACACCACGCCCCTGCTTTCTGCCAGGGGACCTGGGCCGGGGTCCACTGGCGCCTGGCTTGGTGCTGCAGTACTGCAGCCTGTTCACCTGTGTCTCCCTCTGCTAAGAGGAAAATGGCTCCCTGCCTTGGGGTATTTTTTGCTTTGCTTTGCTTTTTCCAGTGGGGTCAAACCCAGAGCTTTGCAAGTGCAGAGCTCACATTGCACCCCTGAACCACATCCCCCAAACCAAGGTCAGGTCCTGGGGATGGGATGTATGACCTGGGCCCCAGGGTCTTGTAGTCCTTGTCATTTTACTGGCTCACTGCCAAGACACCCGAGCTCTCACTGCTCTGGACCTTTTGCCTCTGGAGAGGACTCCGCTAGCTTTGCCACAGACAAGCCAGGCTCCATCTTGTCCCAGGGTGATTTTTGTCAACAAGAGATCTAGTTCCTTCTTATATTTTCCTTTGGTTGCTCCCACCCTTCCAGTTCTCTAGGCCCCAATCATAGATGGGATGGGAATTCCTTCTCCAGAAGTCTCCTCAATTCCTGTCTAAATCAGTAGGTAGTAATAATTCTCTGGCAGGGCTGGGCATGTAGCTCAGTGGTGTAGTGCCTGCCTGGCAAGTGCAAGGCCCTGAGTTCAATTCCTGGTACAAAAAAAAAAAGTCATAATTCCCCAGAAGCCAGGTATGATGGTGCACATCCATAATCTCAGCATCCTGGGAGGCTGAGGTAGGAGGATTGCAAATTTGAGCCTACCCTGGGCAACTTAGTGACAGTGAGAACTTGTTTCAAAGTAAAAAGGGGCTAGGGATCCACACAAAAGCCCTGGATTCAATCCCTACCACGACACACACACACACACACACACACACACCCTATGCAGGTTAGGAAGCAGGAAAAAAGAGGACCTTGAACCCCAGCTCTAGCTCAGCCAAGACACCTTATTTTATAAAATACCCAAAAAATTCTTTATCCTCTATAGGGAATGGGTGATGTCAATGTTTTGGGATAAGAGAAAATAAAACAGATTGGCCCAGACAGAGCCTGGTGCCTTTTTATTAAACTCAGTGGGAAGAAAAAAATCTCTATATAATACTGTATTCTGTCATTTAAAGACAGCCACTATATTTCCTTCACTTTCGTTGTTTAAAATGTCAGTAAATCTTTACTTTGGCATTTTCATCAACTCTAGGCCAAACGTAGAGCGAAGACAGACAAGTGTGAGGCAGGGGGTTACAGACCACAAAGGGGAGGTCTGTGGAAACAGCATGGGGGCAGACTTGGAAACAGGAAGTGAAGTGGAAGCCGGAAAGAGACGCAAATGACAACTAGGTGTGGAAGGAAGTGGGATACACGTTCTGGAAGTGGGCGTAGGGTTGCTCTAGGGGAGGCCACGTGGATGAAGTGAACCAGTGGAGAGGAAAGGTAGGTGAGCAGTTGGGAGTGGTAGGGACTGTGGTGAAACAGGAAGCAGCTGTCCTGTGGTTTCCCGAAGTGGCTGTGCCTGTCTTGCTCCTCCTAAGGCCCCTTGGCGCAGTGCAGGCCTGGTGAGTATCTGATGGATCAGTGACTTTGAGCCCTGGAGAGTCTACAGCAGCACTTCTCCTAAGTCGATGGAAGGGACGTGTGATAAGCAGGTGTGGGGGACAGGCAGGGTTATAGTGAAGCCTGGATGTGTCCATCTCATCATCTGGAATCCAGAGCACCAGTGTCTTGATTTAGCCCTGGGAGAGGCAGAATGTGGCTAATGGCAAAAAAGCTCTTAAGAACCAGTTCACATCAGCGTCCGAGCATCCTATTATATCCCTCAGACATCTGCATTCGCCTCCAGTCATGGAATGCTTGGTCCTCCTGGGCTGGTAGGGGGAGTAACATTCCACAGGGACGTTTCTGTGACTCGAGCAATGTACTGTGAGCCACATCCTCCTCTCCTTTAGCTTTCACAAATTCAACCACATGCACTTGGTTGGGCATCTTTCCGGACTGGTGACTGCACTGGATATTTAATGGCAACTGAACACAAGCGATCCTGAACCAGATCAAGCATTTATCCAGTGCTTACTGTGTACCAGACACTGATCTGGACACTGTGCACGTGTGAACTCATATGATGTTCACAACAGTCCTGTGAGGTGGGCTCTCATGATGCCTCTCTTGTGGAAGAGGAGATGAAGATGGAAAGACGTACTGACACCTCCCCTTCCAGCCAGGCTCGCCAAGCTGCTAAGAGACAGCTCCAAGGGTCATGTGCAGATTAGCTGGCTCCTGCTTAAAGAACGTGACTGCCTCAAAGCATTTCTCCACCTTCGTAAGAGCTGCAGCAAAGTGTGTTGTGGACTCGGGGTTTCCAAAGTGATTCTGACTGCACGCCATTTCCCTCTGTCGTGACAACTGTCGATTGCTTTATAACTTATCTCCTGCACTTGCTGCCTCTCCGTCACCATGATGCGGAAGGCTGACAAACATCTGTGTGTGCAGGCTGAACTTCCCCAGCCTTCGTGACCATCAGGCTGGCCTCTCTAATGTTGAGGGTGCAGCTGAATATTTAACCTAGCAGCTACTTAGCTAGTGTTTACCCCACACCCAGGGCATAGAGGGCAGGGAAGGCAGGCACACAGAAGGGAAACCCAGCAGAACCAAATAAGTGATACAAAGGGGTTGGAAAGGTGATCCTTACTGGGAGTCAGATAGGCAGGATTTATTCCAATAAGCTTTCAGGTAGCTCTGTCCCTGCTGAGCTTCCAGTGTTGTGATGGGCCCACCACAAGGCCTGAACCCACGCACTCCCAAGACACCAGTATCTACCTGTTTAGGTTCCTGCCTGTACCTTCCACAAGGTGAGAGTGAATTTTTTTTTGTTTTGTTTTGTTTTTTGTTTTTTGTTTTTTGAGACAGGGTCTCAATATGTAGTTGACACTGAACTGGAACTCACTATGTAGCCCAGGTTGGTCTCGAATCACAGTGATCCTCAGCCTCTCGAGTGCTGGGATTACAGGCCTGTGCCACCACGCCTGGCTGAGTGAGTGTTTAAGCAAATAATCCAGAGCACCACTGAGGCATGGCTAGGTACTTTCCCCCTGAGTTCCTAATGCCAATTCTCATTTACTTTTCCACTTTTTCTAGAGGCGGTTGTACGGAGCAAAGCTAGCTGCTCTTCCTAAGTAGAACAGTCTCAGAGCCCCGGCACTGCACAGCTGTCGGGGTGCCAGAGACATGTGGCTGGAGCTGAGCTGAGCAGGCACAGGCCTGGGTCTGAGGGACAGGTCTCCACAGGCTACTCAAAGGGAAGAACAAAGAGCTTTGCCCACCTGAGCAACCCCACCCGTCTTACAGGAATCAAGGCCTCCAGGGGCTGCTTGCACCTTAGGGTCAAATCCGAAGCTGCCAGTGCCCGCTGCTTCCCCATCTCTCTGTGCCAGTCTTCCTGTGACTGTGCTCATTCTTCTCCTTTCTGCTGCTGAAATTCACCCTCCTGTTTGACACGAGTTCTACATCAATTAAAAAGATTTAGTTAGAACTGGTACTGGGATAATGACAGAGGAAATAGAGAGGGAAGACAGGACGGAAGATAACAAATAGATTATTGCAAACCTTACCTACCTCCTCTTTCCATATATTCTTTGAGGGGGAGGGACAGGGGACCGAAGGGCTGGGGGCTGCAAACTGAGCTACTTCCCAATCTTGTTTTGTTGTGGTGGTGGTTTTTTTTTTTTTTTTTTTTTTTTGCAGTACTGGGGATTGAACTCAGAATCTTGCACTGTGAAGCAGGCACAGTGCCACTGAGCTAAATCCCTGGCCTACATTTTGTATTTTTTGAGTCAGGGTCTCTCTCATTAAGTTCCTTGAACTGATGATCCTCCTCTCCCAGCTTCCCAAGCAGCGGGACTACAGGCGTTTGCCTCCACACCTGGCCCCATTAATGCTCATGTTCATGCCATGTGACACTGTTAACAGGGGCCTTGCTTTACAGATGAGAAGATGAAAGGACAGTGTTAAGTCACTTACCTAAGTGCTCAAAAAGAGCCAGCGCGGCCCCAGGACCGGCCTTGGGGCCCTTGCTCTCGCCACTGCCCCAGGCTGGGCGTGGACGTTTGAGAGTCTGTGGAAAGGTCCAGGTGGCAGGGTGGATCTGGCCTGCGTCAGGTGCAGTGAAGAGGCGGGCAGAGGAGGGCGACTGTGGACAGCCCGCAGAGGCTCCCTGAGATGCCACCCTCCCCTCTCCTAGCCGAGCAGCTCACCCTAGTGGGGAAGATTTCCTTCAACCCCAAGGACGTGCTGGGCCGCGGGGCAGGCGGCACTTTCGTTTTCCGGTGAGTGCAGGCCTTTTGGAGAGCCTTCTCCCAGGCCCCGTGGGCATCTGTTCCACCTTCCCCTTCCTCTGCCAGGGGACAGTTTGAGGGGCGGGCAGTGGCTGTCAAGCGGCTCCTCCGGGAGTGCTTCGGCCTGGTTCGGAGGGAGGTGCAGCTGCTGCAGGAGTCTGACCGGCACCCCAACGTGCTCCGCTACTTCTGCACCGAGCGGGGCCCCCAGTTCCACTACATCGCCCTGGAGCTCTGCCAGGCCTCCTTGCGAGAGGTGAGTGGGGAGCTGGGGAGGCTGGGAGGCCCTGGGCCGCAGGCTGACAACTCTGCCCCTCGCTGCTGCCCAGTATGTAGAGAATCCGGACCCGGACCGCTGGGGCTTGGAACCCAGGATGGTGCTGCAGCAGCTGACCTCTGGCCTGGCCCACCTGCACTCCTTACACATAGGTACCCGGCGGCCCGGCCCACCTTGCCCTCCCTACGTCCCCACCGGCCGTCAGCTCGCTCTGCTCCTTCCCACAGTGCACCGCGACCTGAAGCCGGGCAACATTCTCCTCGCCGGCCCGGATGGCCAGGGCCTCGGCAGAGTGGTCCTCTCCGACTTCGGCCTTTGCAAGAAGC